ATTTATTCGACGACTACCAGGCTGTCTTTGATAATTGGCTCGAAGAAGCGATTATTGAAAGGGTACCTGTACTTGAAGTCGACCAAGAGAGCTACTATCTTCCACACAGACCTGTAGTCAAGAAAGAAGGAACTACGCCCTGTTTTCGATGCGTCAGCAAAAGTTAAGGAATCGCCTTCGCTTAACCAATGCTTGGAGACTGGATCCAATCTTATAGAGTTTATTCCAGCATTGCTACATCGATTTCGAGAGAGGAAGATAGGGGTAACAGCTGATATCGCGAAAGCCTTCTTACAAATCAGCGTCTCTCCGTCGGATAGAGATGTTTTGAGATTCCTGTGGTGGAACGTTGACGGAGAAATAGAGATTTATCGACATCGTCGAGTTATCGTCGGATTGACAAGCAGCCCATTCCTTTTAGGGGCGATTGAATTGCATATTAATAGAGCCTTAAACTCTACCATTTTGCCATATAAGAAAGCAGTTTATGAGAAATTGGTAAAATCCTTTTATGTTGATGACTGTGTTACTAGTGTCAATTCTTATTCTGATTTTGAAGTTTTCAGGAGAGAAGCCTGTTCCCTTTTGACTCAAGCCGAATTTGATTTAAGAGATTGGAAATACACTGGCAAGGATCCCGAGAGTCAATCAACGGTGCTTGGACTTATATGGGACACCAAGAGGGATATTTTAATGTTACCGGAATTTCCTGCACCGACGATCACGGAGAAAATAACGAAGAGAGTCATTTTGTCACAAGCACAGAAAGTTTATGACCCTCTCGGATTCGTCTATCCCGTACTGTTAAAACCAAAATTACTATTGCAAGATCTGTGGAATAAAAACGTGGATTGGGACACAGAAATAAACGGCGACATTAAACATGAATTTCTCAAATGGGTCCAGCAACTAGGTCTCCTACGCATATTGAAGTTTCCACGATGGATTTTTGGAGAGGAAAGAGGTCCCAACTCACTGTCCTTTCATGTTTTTGTCGACGCCAGTAAAGACGCATACGCGGCGGCAATCTTCGTACGAGTTGAATCAAGCACAGGAGTCGAGATACATCTCGTAGAAGCTAAATCTAGAGCACCCAAAGAGAAGAAGACCATACCTCGCCTTGAATTACTAGCAGTCTCCATTGGAGCTAGGATGATGCGATCTTTCATAAAGGCTATGGATTATCAAGATATCAAGATCTATTTCTGGAGCGACTCGATGACCATTCTAACATGGATTCGACAAAAGACAATGGGAAGTCTTTGTATGGAATCGTGTTCTGGAAATAAGGAGCCTTACGGATATTAAATCTTGGAAATATGTCCCCGGAGTGATGAACCCAGCAGATTTACCCTCATGAGGTTGTGATGCTAAGAAATTCCTTGAACTGAAATGGTGGGAGGGACCGGAGTGGTTGAAACTACCTCCCAAAGAGTGGCCCAAAGAGGAATTTCTGGAGGCCTTCAGAAGATTCATTGCACGTCGAGGAAGACCTACTGTAGTATATAGCGACAATGGGAAAAATTTTGTAGGGGCCAGGAATCTACTACAGAAGATTAATTGGCGGAAAGTTTCCCAATATTGTGCACTCAATGAGATAACATGGCATTTTAATTCACCTTCAGCTGCCTGGTGGGGAGGATGATGGGAGCGATTTATCCGCCTCCTTAAAGATCTATTGAAGAGGACATTAAAGAGAACTTCGTTGAGCTACGAAGAATGAACACAGTTCTATGCGATTGCGAGGCTACCATGAATTCAAGACCCCTTACCTACTTGACAGAGGAAAATACTGAAATCACAGCTCTGACTCCAGCGATGTTCATCAGTGACATTCGAGAAAATGGCGTTCTAGACTTGGATCAAGTTTACAAGTCCCACTTTGCAAAGAGGATACGCTATCGTCAAAGATTGAAAGAAGAGTTCAGAAAACGTTTCCGTATACAGTACTTGGGCCAGTTATCTAGACGAACTAAACCCAGCAATAGTTCCGCGTCCGTGGCTGTCAGGGACGTCGTGCTTATTGAAAACAATTTACAAAAGCGATTAGACTGGTCGCTCGCCGTCATTAGAGAAGTCTATCCCGGAAAAGATGGTTACGTGCGGGTGATAAAACTGAAAACGAGCAAAGGTGAACTGGTTTGAACCCATTCAAAAACTAATTCCCTTGGAAGTTGGACACTCCAGTCCTGAAGCCGATAACTTTATCGAGTCTACCACTACGACGTCAGAGACTACTAAGGGAAATGCAGCTAACACCCTCGAAGAGTCTGTAGCTGTCCCTAAAGAGGAACCGAAATCGTTGGAAGAAACGAACTTAAAGACCCGAAGAGGTCGTATCATCAAGAAACCGGATCGGTTCAAATATTAGAAAATGTTTGTCATTTTATTTTCGTTTTCATTTTTTTTAGATAGGTTAAGTTGCTCTTACTAAGAAGTCACAACTCAAGGTGAGAGAGATGTTGGAAACGCGCCCTCAGTACCGTTGACATAGAGGACGAGACACGTGTTACCGGCCGAGGAGTGAGTTAGAGGAAGGTGCCGGAAGAGCCGCGTGTGAACGGAAGAAGACAAGATCGGATCGCGAGCAGAGAGAGTGCCGTCCGTTTGCCCGCCATTATAGCCGTTCGCCTCTTTTTACTGCTATTGTTACTACGTTTAATCCGAGCCGTATGTTCTCACTGTTTTGTAATAAAGTAGCGTGTTCGTGCAACTAAGAAGAAGTGTCTAATATTATTGAGAACCTTACGATTCCGAAACCGCGGCTGCAACACTATTGATTTTTTTTTCTAGAGTATTAATGTTATATAGTTGACTCAGTATACAATTGTCGTTTTGAAAACAGATTTACATAATGTGATAATAAAGACAATATAATACCATGGTATACATACATACATACATGTACATATATATATATATATATATATGTGTGTGTGTATATATGTATACCATGGTATTATATATACATATATATATATCTATGTATGTGTGTATGTATGTATACCATAGTATTATATATATGTGTGTGTGTGTGTGTGTGTGTGTGTGTGTGTGTGTACACAAACACACACACACACACACGTATGTGTGTATGCATATATACCATGGTATTATGTTGTCTTTATTATCACATTATGTAAATCTGTTTTCAAAAAGACAATTATATACTGAGTCTACTATACAACATTAATACTCTACAAAAAAAATCAATAGTGAAAAGCAAAGATCTATTCTTAGGATAACAAATTGTCAATGTATAAATACAGTAATAAGAAAGGATCGTTTTATTTTGTTGTTTGTAGTTATCGAATAACAGCACAGATTTAGAATCTAATTTTTAATGTGAGTTAACAAGACAGCACATTGACTCGAGCTTGTACAGATTGTAAGTAAAAACTCAGTTAACTCTCGCTTATCAGAATGAAAAGAAACGTGCATTCAACTGAGTTACTATCACATGTTACAAATAAGAATTATTTGAATTTTAGTGGAGTAGTAAATGGAAAAAACTAATGCCTTGTCAGTATTAAATACCTAATTTATACTTTACTCGTTTTATTTATATTTATACTTTTAAAATCAGGGATAGAAAAAATATAAATTTATCTTTTAAAGGAAAAAAAAGGGGAAGAAGAAAAGCTAATTTAAAAACCATTAAAACCCAATTAATTACTATTAACTCCACCGTTACTTTAACTTTAATGACTATTCTACAAAATGTTTTTTGTTTTCTGTTTCTTGTTTTTTGCTATTTTTTACATCTTATCTTTTTACTTCTTATCCGGTTTTATGTTACCCAAGATAAAAGTTAAACGAACTTCGGAGGAAACACATAGCAAGAAATGCAATTGTCGATAAAACGGTCGCAAAGGTCGAATTTGATTCCCTGCTTACCTGTACTTAAGTTTCGTGTGCGATGGCAAATCTCTACTACTGTATTGCTTTGTTATCGCGCTTAGATCTTTCTCGCCTCGTCTTTGTCCTCCTCGGGCAGATCCGAAGGTCAGTCTTGCTGCTGTTGTCATGTTTTTGTATAAAAAACACTTCAACGAATCACAAAATAATTGGATTGGATGCGACAGGCAGCGACAAATATTTATAGACCTACACAGGCCACAGGACAAGACGCGATTGAAGATTCTGGAAGAATTGATGACTCACGCTGAGACTCACGAATGCGCTTGATCACAGAACATATATAATGAGAAATGTAAGCTCCGTGTCAAACGGAGGAAGCAAGTCCGATCGCCGCGCCCTTAGTGGTTAGGCTTGATACTAGGGCTGTGTCCAAATTTACTGACTATGCTGAAAATGTATAGTATATGTAACGTAAACTGTAGATTTTGAGCTCTGGCAATGAATTTTGGAACACAGCCTAGATAGCATGTAAGGGTATTTCAAATTTTGCATAAAGTACAAGACGTGATACTTTAAGCTAAAAGAAACAATTTTTTCCATTTGCGAAATTGCAATTGAATTTGTCTGATAAATAGTTTCTAGTTGCGTTCGGCGTTGCATCCGTTTGCTCTTTTATCTCGAAAATCGTTTTGGCAATTCGCATCTTTCTGCTACATCTTATCTGCGTCGGTATTAACGTTCGGTATTAAAGCCGCAGAACAGACTTTTGACAGACATAACCCATAGCGCATAATACGAGGTGTGGCTATTAAATAACGAGACTGACGCTGCTACAGAAGAAGTACGCCAAACGCCAGCGACTGACAGCTGTTTAACATGAAGCCTTATCTTTCGAATGCAGTA